CAAACATTGGTAAATCAAGGGGTCTAGCCGGCCTACGCCGCCTGATACCTTTACTACTCAATCAAGATTGTGACGAAGACTAAGTAACTCCTATGTTAACTTAATAGTCACTCAAACTTAGTACTGAGCCTAAAAGGTACGAGTCGTCCACTTGTTTTTAATAAACAAAGGCTCTCAACCAATACTCTTGCTAGGTTAACAAATAACAAATTAGAGGCCAACATTGGCAATAAAGGGAAACAACCGGTACCCGCCGCTTGTTTTCCTACTTAAATTCCTTGGCTACTTGGTAATTCTATTTACTTGGTCAAATTGAATAAAGAGTTCGAATACCGATTGATTAAATGGCCGACTGATCATCTATCCTGGAAACAGACAACCAGTCGTCCAGGGGCATAGGCGGCATACTTACTATTTGTACCTGTCTTAACGTTCGGCCATGCACAACAGTCTGTCTAGTGAGCAAATTTCAAATACTTAGACAAATTTGAACAAAAACAAAAAATTTGATTAAAATGAGCCGGCCATAAAAGACCAGCAGAATATTCAAAACCCCGGCCCCCTGGCCGGGTAATTACAAAGCAAACGGCACGCAGGCCGTGAAAAAAAAAAAATATACTTAAAGCTTAAGAAGGGGGCAGTTCAGTATCAGCAGCAGCCGCCTGGTCAGCACTCTTCTTGCTGGACTCGGCCTTAGCTGCATCATCTTTTGATGCCTTACCCCCAAGTGGCACAAGCGCCACAACCGGCTCTTCCTCCTCCAACGCAACGTCCATCGCCTCTTCTTCAGCAGCCGCCAGGATCTGTTGATTATATATTTCCGAACACTGGCGGTACGTTCTTTCCCATGAGGCAAAGTCGGCACTGGGGAACAGTCGTTCCCAGGTCATGCGTTGGATTTGGGCGGAGTCTTCCACCATCTCCCGGACGAGCTCTTGTTTCTCTTGCTCGGCCTTGTCCGAGAGCTCTTGGGTAAGACTCTTCTCCTGGTTCACCAGGCGTTCTTTTACGTTAGCCAAAGATTTCTCCATGGCTTCGTAAGAGTGCATTTTCTGACGAAGGGGCTTCAGCTCGGCTTTAAGTTTGGTGACGGTCCCCTCCAGCTCGTCAACCTTCTTTTGGGCCGCCTCTAGCTGAGCCCGAACAGCGGCGGTCGCCTGCGCCTGATAATAAAGAAGATCAATGGTCAGTACTTCATTTTGGGCAATTTGAAACATTGCTTTATCACAGCTGGAGGCGGCCATAGCCTTTGCGGCCTTTACCTCTTTGTTTTTCCGATCAATCGGCTTGCGAAGGCTGTTGACTCGGAGCAGGGCCTAAGTACAAAGAAAAACAGGCGTCAGTTTCCAATCATAAGGGTTAACAGGCGTCCTGGAACTTCAAAAGGGTATACCTCAGCTAGGATCCCCGAAATTCCATCGAGGTCAAGGGTGCCGGCACCCTTGACCGCCTCCCTGTCAGAGGGAGGAACTACTTTAACCATTGACTTGGCTACCTCAACCAAGTCAAGTCCCTGGGGGCCGGCTGCATTAAGCAGAAGGAAAGACAAGTTAGACCTAATCAAGAAGGAAGCAAGAGTGAGTTTTTACAAGCAAGTGTCCATACATCTAGGCGGCCCCGCCTGGGTTTTTGAAGAAGTGGCCGGCTGCTTCTCAGCCGCCACTGTTTTCCTGGAAGACCCAGGAGAGCTTGCAACAGTCGTTCTCCGGGCCTTGGGGTCCGGCTGTTGCGAGGAAGAAGCCCTTGGAGTGCCAGACTGAAAACAAAAAGAGTTAGTATATGCATAATACAACTTAAAGGGGAAGAGTTTTCAAAGCTTACCAAGGGTGCTTCCTTGCTGGGGGAGTCGGCGTACGACTGCTTCATTAGCGAAACCCGCAGCATGGCCGCCGCAGTCTTAGATGCTGTTATTTTACTCATGGCGTCGGCTGAAAGAAATAAACAGCAAAGTTAGTAAAAATCCCAAGTAAACAAGGCGTGAGAAAACAGAGTATTCGTCAGGCCGGCTACCTCTAGAGCACCGACTGCCGAGGCCACAGGCGGCCAAGAAGTACTCATCATAGAGCCACTTGAAGCTCGGGACGCAGTGTAGGGGTACTTGCTCTCGTACCCCTGAAGTAGAGTTCACCCTAGTCTCTACTTTGAAGAGTCCTTTGTCTAGGATCTCTCTTTTAGCCTTTGGGGGAACAGGCGGCATGCCGCGGCCGCCTGCAAGAAGAGGCGGATCCCTGTTCCACTTGTTAAAACGTTTGTTCAGCTCCGTGTCTGAACTCTCGATAATAAGGAAGGTGTTCCGCCAATCCTTCCATTTGTTTGCCTTACCTCTCGTCATGAGGTAACCCCTGTGGCTTGTTAGTTGATACCAGCCGGTACCTCCCGACTTAGGGGTCCGGCTGAGATAGTTCATGTGGGCGAAAGCCTCAAAACTTGGCTCCACCCCGGTCAGTTCGCACCCGGCCACATAGCCGAGTACGTTTACCCAAGAGTTGGGGGCTAACTGCCATAACCCCAGATCATACCCATCTAAAATCCGCTGAACAGCCGGATGTAATGGGAAGCGCAGACCAGCTTTGATGGCCGCCACATAGCAGCCAAAACAGCCGTCACCATAGCTGGTACCAGCCGGCCAGACGACAGTATCTTCTGGATCCGGCACAAACAGTAAATACTCCGGGCCCATTTTGTGGTTAGCAATAAAGCTCGCCACGTTGTCTCGCATGGTTGCGATCCGGCCCCGGGGCACCCTGCAGTAGTAGGGGGTGTTTTCCTCTCTGTAAGAGGCGGACGGCTCTGCCCAATTATCTCCCTTCTCCACTGCATGGGAACTTCTCGCCTCTTGTAGGCGGTTATGTTTTTCTTCTGAGTCAGAAGAACTATGGTCAGAAGAACTATGGTCAGAAGAGCTGGAATCGGACTCGTCCCCTGACGAGTCCGAAGAGGACGACTCCTCCCCTCTCCTAGAGGGGCCCGCCTCCTCTCCCTTAGAAGGAGCAGAAGGTAAATTAGACATGTCCACGGTTAGATGAGAAGGGAACACCTTGGTCCCTCTCTCAGAACTGTCAGCTTGACAGTCGCCTCGTTCCACATCTGGCGCCTGGTCAGATGTTTCGCTAAGGAGTACCCTTTGGGAGGAGCCGTCTGAGTTTGATATTCTAGCAGTCTTTTTTGTTCTGGCCATCACGTTCTGCATAGACACAGATTCAGTCGGACTTTGTATAAAGGGCAAAGATGGGTCCAGAAAAGGGCAGGCGGCACTCCTAGTCCTAGATTCAGCCGTCCCCGGTGACCGGCTGATCACTAACTTAGGGCGTGTCGTGTGCTTCCATGGTGCCATTTCAAAAAATAAAAAGAAAATTAAGAGTAAGAGAACTGAGTTACCTGAACGGATGACAGTTGATGAAGTCCTGAAAGTTCGGGTCAGTCGGCTTGTCAGAACAGGCGGTAGGCAGAAAAAGTCCGAAAATGTCAGAGCAAGTTCAGGGGTCCGAATGTTCTCGCAAAAATTCTCAAATGTGAAAATGACCGAAGTCAGCACTTCCTTTTATAGGCAAAATGAGAAGGCGAAGGGTCGCTTCCGAATTCAAATTTGGGCGGGAGAGTCTCCCGGCCGTCTGCAAGGTGACACCTGTAACGGGCCGTCGCCTGTCACCGTGCGACGCCTGTCACAGGCGACACGTGACCAGTCGCGTGCCACCTGTGAGGGGCAAATGATTAGGGGATTTTTATCCACCAAGCGCCGTTTGACAAGTGGACCAACCAGGTTCCGCCACGCGTCCTCCACGGACCACTTAAGACACGCCACGTGTCCACCCATGCCAAATGGGACAACCGGCCATCAAGGCCCATTTCAGTCTAGAAGCCCGATCGGCCCTAGGTTTACCTTAAACCTAGAGAGTTGCACGCTTCCCAAGGCTATAAATACTCGATTAATCCTCATTAATCGGGGGACCGAATAATTAACGGAACGGAGGAGAAACATTACGGAACACACTAATAACCGGCTGATCTCGCTAGCAAAGCAGATTACCTACATTAAATACTCTCACCTAGAGAGACCTTATTACTTTAATTTCTGTATTAATTACTCCTTAATCAGGTACTAACTTGACCGTTGGAGGCGGAGCTCTCAGGAGTCTCCGTTATTTTGCAGGTACAGGCGTCCGGTTCCAGTCTCGGAATTGTAGCTCTCCCGCAGGACATCAGAAAACCCCGAAACACTTTCCTCCAAATTGGCCCAATTTTCTTTCTATAATGTATTTTGTTTCCAATTGAATTTCGAAGTTGTATGCATGCTTTGATTGATCTGTAAATTTTTTATCTAATGATGATTTGCTATGTTTATTTCATTTTGTGTAAGATTATCTTTAAACCCTAAAATCCTGAATTAATTGTTGAAATCAATTGTTCACTGCAAAGAAAGGAGCAATTTTGTTCTAGACATGTTGCTGCTAGTAAGCTAATAGAGTAATTTCCAAGGAGTCTGAATTCCAAAGGACAAGACAAAGTGTTGTGAATAGGTTCGTAAAACAATGGATTCGATGAGTTCAATATGATAAAAAGATGTATCGAATTAGCAGAGTTAGTCTAAATTTTATATGTAATGATGAATTGATGATGATTAGTAGATTTAATTTGTTTAAGTGGGAGTGAACTTGAATTACAACTTTGATGTAAGTATGTTGTATTTTTGTGGTGATTTTATTAGAAGAATTTGCCTTTGTTTGAAATTCTGAATTTGAAATACATTGTATTACCAAACACCTTATTAGCATTTGAAATTCCAAATTCCAAATTCATAATTTCCCAAACAAATGACTTGGAATTGAATTCTAGCAATTGAAATTCTGGAATTGAATTTCACTATTTGAAATGAAATAAGAGTATCCAAACGCAACCTTAGGGAAGTAAAAAGATACGAAGTATCTAACACATACAGAGTAATGGAGGAGAACATTTTAAGTGTATTCTTTATCTACAAAGTTTCCAGTGCAACTCTTAATTAGTTGAGTATTGCAACCTTCAAATCAAATATTTAGTAAAATAGGAACTGATCATAAGAACTACGAAGTAGTAATTTAGCAATATTCCCCATTACTCTATTTCTGTTTATCACCACTCTAAATTTTTGACAAGGATGCTATGATTACCTAAAAATTAGAGAGTAATTAATACCCGTAAAATAGTACAGGAGAATTTCCAATACAAAGTATATAGCACATTGTGCCAAGTAGTACACCTATGAGCTATCTCGGGTACACAACAATGGCTGAACCAGCATCTTGGCCCATTATATATGAGCATTCTGACACTGTGAACTGTATCACAGCTTTCTGGTATAGAGATTTGTCTAAGGTCACAATAGGCAGAGCACAGACCGCAGATACACTGAAGCTGTGCTCTGCCTTACAGCTAGAACTCCGATGTGGAGATTGTCTGACCCCATTAGAGGGCTATCTTCGTACCCATTGCATAGTTGTCTAATATCAATCCTGCCTACTAGTAACCATGAATACGAGAAACACCAGTTAGATTGTTTCCATGCAATATTTACATGTTACAAATGCATAGCAGTATAGTACAAAGTATCAAGCAGATTAAAAGGATTTGATCATCTTGGGTAACACCATATATAGTCATTGTAGTCTGTAATCAGTAGATGCAACTCATGCAAGTTCCAGTAAAACATTATGTCCATCTTGTCTCTATACACCCCTGGAAAAGCCGCAAGATTCAAGGGAGATGAAAAAGAAAAGGGAAATAAGACAAATCGAATATGAAGGTTTGAATCTGAAGGAACTTTGATTATATCTAAATTTAGGATACACTTTTAAACACTTCTATCTAGATGGATAGTTCGAATAATGGCAACTCCAAATACAAGTATGTATCATCTTTTCTACCCTTAACAAAAAGAAGAAACAGATAAGATATCATACCGATTGCATTAAGGATTACTCTTCAATGCATCATAATGGCCATACCCATGATAAAGAATGCAAATTGGACTCTGCGTACCATACTCTTGTCCATATTCTGCTATGATTTTAAGGTTACTGGATTTCTTGTCAAGCATGTAAACGGTGATGGGCATCCTGAAGACAAAGGTATGAAAATTGTCAAAACAGCATAGAAATTATTAATGCTAATGTTTTCAAGCCTTTAAAAGGCCAAATTACTACTAATTGCTCCAAATTTTTCCATATCACACTTTGCTCTTTCCTCCCTACAAAAATAAGTTTTGGAGAGTATGTTCAACTGTTCAAGTAAAATCGGGTTAAATAAATTTAGAGAAACTCACACAAGAGATGCTCAAGTTCACCTCACAACTAAATTATATTTGTGAAATAAACAAATGAGATTAATAGACTCAATAAAGTTCAAATAAGGGGTTTTGAGTGAAAAGAATTAAGCCTATATTTGCACATATTCTAAGGATAATTTGGGTGTCTAAATTGATGATGCTAATGAAAGATTTTTCTATGAAAAATGAGCTCGAACTTTAACAAGCAAGGATGAAAAAAAAAAAAAAAAAAAAAAAAAAAAAACCCTTAGCATACTGTGTGAAGGGCATTAGATAACTTTCACTTACTTCAGAACATGTGAGGCCATGAGAAGCTCAGTTTCTCCTCCCCAAACATAGGATTTTCTCATCTGACAGATATATCTGTCAAATTTATCCTCCAGATACCTGAACAATGAATTACAGAATATAAATGGTGATGGAAAGAAGCAGAATAATTTCCTACGACTTCATGGTACATAATTCAATTATTATGAGAGAGACTCTATGGTTTTTATAGCTTAGAGCAAGGTCTTCAATGGAAATTACCATTCAGTATCTTTTCGTCTCTTGATCAATTCATCCACAACCTGTAAGAGGCAAACAGAATATTTAGCTAAGAGAAGGTAAAAAAAAGCTACACTAAGAAGACACTGCCCTATCAACAAACCAAAAAATGCACTAAATTCAATAAGCCAAGACAAATGTTGATAATCATTAATTAGTTCACAAGACCTTGTAATTAATAAATTCTCACTTACCTTGTCTCTAAGTTCATCTGCGAGTTTCTTTTGAAGGCTCTCACTTGGAGTTGGCATCCCTTTTATAAGACAGGAACCCTGGACCACAGCTCGAAACAAACAACTGCCATCTCCAGGTATACCTGGAGGAATTGCATGAAAATATCATTCCAATAGCCAATATATACAACAGCTAACTTAGAGTAATACAACATCCCATGCAAAATAAAGTTTGTTTTTCCCTTGTGTGACTTGTTGAGTTGTCACTGGTAATGCAAGAGATGGACGGGAAAAAAAAAATCACTATATGACGAAGAGAAGATTAACAGAACATGAACATACAACAACACGATGGTAGATCAGATATCCCTACAATCTCAGAACTTCCCCTTTATACCACTAGATAGCTTGTTGCTTTTGAAAACTAGACGAGCCTAACATGATACTAGATAGATTTTGATAGAAAGCATTGTAATCCAACAAAGTAGTGTTCATCCGAGAGCGAAATAAAAATGCAATGGGAATATGTGATAGATCTAGCCCTTGGGCATCAACAAATTGAATTCTACTAGATTTTTTCTGCCTTCATAAAAAGTTCAAAAGTATTCTTGCATAATATTATCACTAATACAGCATTACAGTTAAACCAATGCCCAATCAACTTCTTAGATTTTCCCTCAACCTCAATCAACTACCAGATGCCTTGCCAAGTTGCTAATTCACAATTTCCTAGCTACATAGATTTGATGGTCAGCATATCTTACAACAAGCTTACATGCAACTCAATTCATACAATTCATCAAATTATGACCAACTAATCAAAGTACTAATTCCAAAATTAGTAAGGCATTTAAGATAAAAATCAAAATATTAATTCCAAAATTAGTCAAATATTTAAGATAAAAATCCAAATTTTGTTCACCTTGATCATAAACTCAAGGGTCACTATTCCCACCACAATCCATCTCCATAAGGACCATAATCCATGATGGTACTTAATTTGATATTCATAACAAATGTACATTCTTGATGCTAAAATTAACACAGCACATAATTTAAGAAAGATTAATTTGATATTCATAACAAATGTACATTCTTGATGCTAAAATTAACACAACACATAATTTAAGAAAGAATTAAACCCCAGAAAACCCAGATGAGGAAAAAAACATACGAATAATTTGCAGTTGATTAGAGTCGATATTGGGCATTTAGTTCTTCAAAAATCATCAATTGGGGTGTGGGAAAATCAACAAATTAAACAAATTCTAAATTTTACAGAACAATTATAATTTTGGGGGGAATTTGGAATTGATTAAAAAAAGAGAAACTTAAAGAGAAATTACCCATGAAAAGGAGAGAGAATCGAATTCCATTGTCCTTTGTTTAGCCATTTTCAACTGCTGGTTTGGACTTTGGAGCATCGTTTGTTGGTTGAGAGCTGGAAAGTTTTTGGGAATTTTTGGCGCCAAAAAGAAGAGATGGAGATTGAAGTTGACCCCTTCAATTCTTGTCACTCGGACTAAACTCGTTTTTTTTTTTTTTTTTTTTGGGATTTATTTCAATTGCAAACCCAATAGAGAGAGGATGGTTAGCCAATTGGGCCAATTGTTATTTGTGTTGCAATGATTGATCGTTACATGCACCTGGGTATAACATACATTCATGAGTATTCTCGTTTTGATTTTTTTTTTTTTAATTGGGTGTACGATGTACCCGAGTGTATATAACAAATTCCAGCAATGATTGGCTACGAAAATTCAAACACTTGGATTTTATAACTGGTAAAACTTTATATTACGAACAGTAGGTTTTGTGTCAAACAGTCTGATCAAAAACTATTTATGGTTGAACCAAATTATATTTGTGTGATGATACTTTGTGTTTGTCAAATAGGTTTTGATCATTTTGCTTGAGATATTATATTACGGGGTAATTATTATATTCAATAATTTTGGGATAATATACAATTTTTATACGACAAGCTTAAGAAAAGGGTTAATGAGTTTCTCAATAGGATGTCACTAACTTACATTTGAAAGTGTTTATCAATGTCCAAAAGACCAAAACATGACAATATCTTATAAAGTATGTCAATTAAGTATAATTCCTCAAAAAAAAAAATGTCAATTAAGTATAAGATATGCCTCCTCAAAACATGTTTATGCTATGATGCTATCATTGTAAAGTTTTCTCTTACCTTAAAAATGTGGGAGATTTTTTATGTACTATGTATAATATATTAATGCGGCCTAAATTTTAATAGAGTATTAGATTAGATTCATATACTTATTGGGTATTTTAGTTGATTAGAGTTTTAAATAGTTTATCGATTAAGATAGATTGTGCAAAACAAAACCAAATATTTGCACCTAATGAAGGGAAAATAGTATATTGTCCTTTAATTCATGATAACTTGACAATTAATGGATTAAAACTTGCACAACATTTGTTCATAGACGGCTCAAAAATTGTATGTGTTCAATATTACCATTGTTTTTAGATAATGAGAAACCATTCGTTTCCGAGTTAAGCGTCCAAATATTAACAACGTTCATTTATCCTCAAAAATTGCATGCATGTTAATTGCATCCCAAAATTTAGAGAAAAAAATGAGGCTCAAACTAATTCAATTATTTTGCAAGATTATCTTTGCATTTTCTCATCCTCTTTGTTGGGATTTGTCAAACACAATTATTAAGGTACGTAAGTGAGATTAGTATTTTTCTTAATAATTATTAATTTTATGGTAATTTCATATTCAAGTACGAAGTCTATAATATTCTTACGAACCCCTATAATTCTTGCAAATTTTAAATCCCATACATGATACTTCCTATAGATTTAAATTTTGAATAGATGAAATATTTTTGTCATGTTGATTGTTAATTTGTTATATACTAATTAGAATTATGCCAAATCGTGGTTAATCATTGTGTAATTCATTCGTTTAAACATCAAAAGAAATTGCTTGGGATGTGTAATATGTTGCTAAAGAATAGATTTTCTAGTTCTTTGTCGTCGAAATCATTGCAAAATTAATTGGTTGTTTTAACTTATTGTATGTGTAATTTTGCCATTAATTAAAATTCAATTAGCAAAAATGGTAAAGTCTTGTATATATATATATATGGATGTGAGACGGTCTTAAAGTAAGGTTAGGTTAATTTTTTGTTTCAAAGAACTACTTACATTTGTACTAGTTTCCAATGTTAATTTTGTGTTTAAGAAAATTGACAGAAGAAACATGTAATTTTATATTTCAGTAATTTTTGGTTTCTCATTATTATTTTCCAAATGAATGTATAAATATAATGATGCAAATAATAATTTTAGGATCGATATGCCATATGCCTCGATGGCCTCTAGACGTGGCCCATTACAAGCATGTGGTGCTTCTATGCTAGCCATTGCCTTAAGCCTCTATAAGAAAGCAACTGAGCTCCATGGACCTATAGGTTCGGTGACAAGACGACTAGCCAAGCTAGGTTCGAAGATGGTTAGTCAGCCCTTGGTCTATATTGTTCTATATCCATGGCTCGCGATCCTTTTCATTGTTGATGACCTTATCCTATCGATGGAGAAAATGTTGGAGACTCGATTCCCTCGATTGCAACATGTTTTTGACAAGATTGATAACTTGGTTGGTAAGGTAGAGAATCTTCCTAAGGAGTTTGAGTATGCCATGAGAAATTTTCCCGAGGTATTGTACAAATTTACCTTCTTATATTAAGTTGTCGCATATGCTATAACATGACGATTGTATGTGTAATTTGGGAGGGCGCAAAGGAGAAGGAAATCGAGGTTGATACAAATAGTGACAACAATCAAAGTAACCAAAACAAAGTGTTACCATCATCTACACAAGATGTTGTGAACACGGGAGATAATGTTCATGTAGTTGGTGCCACTTGCGAAAATAATAAAGGTACATCAACAACATCATTAATGCAATCGTTCCCCCTTTTTAATTTATAACTTCTGTAGTAAAAAAAAAAAAAAAAAAATTATAAAAAAAATTACTAACTTTATTTCATTTCATAAAAAAATTCATTTGTTACGATAAATATGAAATAATGAAACAAAGGTAGTATATTGATATTTTATTAGTTTTAATCGTTTTTTTTTTATAATTTAAATTCTAGATTCTTCCCAACAAGTTGGTAACAAGGAAGCGTCGAAGAAAGGGCAGAAGGAAAACATTAGAATTGAAGAGAAGTCACAAGGAGTTAATAAAAAAGGTATCAAGAATAAAAAAGCTACTAAAGATCACAAGAAGAAAGATATGGCAAAAGTCGATTATCATCAAGAAACTCATAAAACAAAACATGATATTAAGACGGGAAATAAGACAGATGATCATCCTTTGTTGGAAATCTTCGAATTTGGTTGGGAAACTCCGAAATCAACCATGTCGCGGCGTAGAGCTTCATACACATAGTAGGGATGATGATAGATTTGTGATAGATTGTACGTATATGTATAGTAGCTAAGAGCTTCGCCCCCTAAAATGTAATGGTGAAGTTAGAAAGATACACCAAGTATGGGAGTAGCTATAAATATTGTATTTAGGGTGAAATAAAAATTATTGATCACAAAGAAATTAAAGATAAATCTATCCATAATATAGTTGTAAAGATTTGACAATAATATTATTATACTATGTATATAAATATATAATATAAAAATCATACGACATCTACAAAAGTGATTTAACCGTGTTAGATAGATGTTTGCTATGATGAATGATGGATATGCTACATATCATAATAATAGGATACCAATTGTTTTGTTGACAACTATAATTGTTAACTTAACATTTCTTCGCATATATTTATATCAAACGATGATAAATCAATCATAATATTGTTCTAGTCATCCTAGTTTCTTAACGTCAATGATTAGACATGATTGGACAAAATGATCCTTTATCATATGAGTAGTTGGGTCATCCCATTGCTTAATTAATTAGATTCGCATAGTTGTACAACGAAATCATCAACTAAAATTAGTATATTAAACTAAGTTATACTATTAATTTCGGACAAAAAGAGTATTATAATAGATTTTGAAAAAACTAAGTTACGTAAAAGATAAAGCCATTGATCTGCGGCGTAATATATCTTTGCTTTGGCTGTAATGCCTAATTTTTTCTCCCTCAATTCATCTATTATCCACAAATATAAAGTTCATGTTAATTTGTTACCGAGTAAAGTTTAAACTTAAATGTTCGTATATACTCTGTACCATGGAGTATAAATAATACCCAAGTTCGCACTGAACGAATGCTTTTATAACAAAGAACTGCACCTAATAGTACACTCCTCGTGTTTGAATCGAAATTTGAGATATTGAAGCATGTCACTCAAGTTTAAAATCGATCATACAAAATACGATCTGAACTATGGACAGTGTTAGCTTTAGATCATGAATAATGGCATAAGGAAGGAACGATTACCTCGAAGCAGAGGAGGTGATTACTGATTAATGTCTAATTGTGTAGAGTAGAATCGATTTTTAAGTCCAAAAACAATCTGAAATAGCATGATATTTACTTTATAATAGAGTGACTCAAAGCACTCAATTACTTCATCCAAGGACCTAGGGCTCTTCTAATAAACTACCATAATACTGTATGAAATTCTGCCCTTGCAACCAACGAAAGGCAAAAGGAAAAAGAAAATCCATGCGTAAATTACATTGGCGGGGAGCTGTACATCTCTTCTTCTGTTTAGAAGACTCAAAAATGGGAGCTGCCCATAAGAATTGGGCAAGGGAAGAGTATAAGAAGATACAAGATGAATTTACATCATTCGAGGATGAAGAGTGGCGAAAGTGTGAGGAGATTCCTGGATTTTGCTAACACTGAGGACCTGAGAAATTCTTTCTTTTCCCAAAGAAACTAAATGTCTTGCCCAGTTTCTTTCGCGAAACTGCTTTACCAAGGGGCTTTGTTTCAAGAACTGGCAGTACCTTTTCACTATTTGACTTACTTAGGGGCTTTGGCTCTGGGGGCAGGACTTGAGCTGTGAATTCCCTCACAGAAGGAGACCTATGTACTCTTTGAGGAGAAGAATCCCGCTGTCTCTGCTCTCGAAATAGCATCAGAAGTTTTTGAGCTTTCTCTCTGCCTCGAGCTGTCCCGTTGACTTGGATAGATACCAAGGTCGGAATTACCCCTTCTTGTAGCACCATTTGACAACATTTATCATTCCCGTTGCAAAGAAGCAACAGACATGACACAGCTTGTTCCTGCTCAATAGGCTCACCCATGTCCATAATTGATGCGAGTGCACCAACAAGACCAGGGGCTGATGTAACGGCTTCTTTAGCTGTATTATTTGATGCCAAGTTTATGAGAACTGCAATGGACTTTTCTGTCCATGTCTGATCTCTGGGCTCAACCAAAAGAAGCAGTAGACCATTGATTATACCAGATTGAAGGAGGTTAGGAATATTGGATGGGCAAGCAGAAATATTAAAAAGAGCATGAAGGGCATCGAGCTTCCACTGTGGTTCACATTTGCCAACAAGAAGCCTGATTAGAAAGGAGACTCCCTTGCTCGAGCCTATGACTGGTTTTGCTTCATCAAGGCATGAAAGATTTAGAAAGAGGGCAGCTGCTAATCCATAAGAACCAGGATCAGAAATCATCTCCTCTAGCAGAGGGACAACCCCAGCGGCTAACATTAATTCCTTATTTCTGTAACAAGAGAGAAACAATTTCATGAGCAAGATTCAACAATGGAACAACACTCTTACAAGAGCATTTTCAATAAATTCTGACAAAAAATTAGAATATCTATCAAGTGCTTTGGTCTTATGGGGCATTCCTACCCCATCTTAACCTTTCAAACTGAAACTTCATGGCTAACCAGCCTAAAGCATTTAACCTAAAGATAACAAATCTAAGATTGTCCAGTGGCTTTTTCTTGTTTTCTTTCCAAAGCCAACACCAACTTTTCAAGAGGAAAAAAATGAGAGGGATTTAAGCTTTCAATAACGATGAATTTCAAGTATGCAAGCTTACAGAAGCTCTACAGGTATAGCATGCATGGATTTGTTATATTGGAATCCAACATAAATCAAATAACGTATTTCACAGTTTATACATCCTCTGTGGTCTACTAAAGCTAGAGATGGATTGATATTCAAAAAGTCCATAAAATGTGATTTCCAAAGCACCCAAGATCAACCCATTTCAATACTGCAGTAACAGCCTGGTAAAAATCCAAATTCTTGACTGGATAGGACATCATTAAATGACTCATGTGAATATTATTATGGCAATCATTAAATTCAATATGATTGCAAAGCACAATCTATAGAATCTCTAAAATTCTGGAAGTATAAGAAATTATTTTATGAACTGACACTATCAAAATTTCACTAATCCTGAAAAGAAGTTCAAAAGGCCATCAAACGTAAAACATTCAAAAGAACCCAACTCGGTATTTACATATCTAACTGTTCCAAGTTCATATAGAAATTAGCAAAGCAGACACACCTGTTGTTATTAACAGCAAGGTTGAAGAGTGCCATTGCCCCATCTTCCAACGCCAAATCATTCCGCTCACCAAGTGCAGACTTTAGAAATCCTACAAGCACTTCAACAAACCCATGAGCACCCATGAACATCCTTGCTTCATCATCATCTTTTAACAACCGTCTTATATGCTCAACTACTTTTAGCTTGGTTCTCAAGTCATCTTCCCCTTGTAGAACAGTCAAAAAGTTCTCACATATACCAATTACATTTTCATTACTCTCTTCCTGCTCACAAGAACAACTTTCACCTTCATTCCCTTCGATCTCTTCGATAATGCCACTTTCCAAGGGTGTTATCTTAACCCCTTTCAGGTTGCCTGAGTTGCTGCTATCCTCAGACCTACACAGTGCTGACTCACAATCCGACAATGCAAGCCTCCAATAGTTGAGATCAAGAGTGTCGGGTGGCCCGCCAGGAATAGGAATCCCATTCTGCTCACACCAACTAGCAATAAGGCCCTTCACACAATAATTAGGAGTTACACAACGATGAGCAAGCTGTTGCTGGGACTTTGGGCAAGTGTTATGCCCATCATTGAACCATTTTTCAATGCAAATTCTTTCATATGTCTGTCCAGAAGCAATGATAACTGGGTCATACATTAGTTGCAATGAGATTGGACATCTGAGTTCTTCAGGTGGAATGGGTATGTGCTCAGTTCTCCTATTTGTCCTAAATGAAAACGATGGTCTAAAGTTAAATGAAACAATTTTTGATAGTTGACGGTCAAATGCCCTCCCATTACAAGCACCAAGACCATCCTCAGAAGATCCTTGAATAGTGGGTGAACAGGGTCCAGAACCTTGGGAATCCTGATCATCACCCAGGTCACTTCTGAACAACTTAGAATACTTCCGCATCAGAAACAAAAGATAAGCTACAATTGATTCTTTTCGTTTGTCTTCCTCCATTCGAGCTTTCTCTATGAGTTTCTTGAGAGATCTTCTTTCAGCAAGAGCAGCCCTTGAAGAAGTTATGCCAAGTTTAGATGCAGCTTGGTGGAAACACTCAAGCTCACTATTGTCACTAAAACTATCATCGAATTTTCTACCCTGCTGAAGCAACACAATTATGTCGTCGCCAATTTGTTTCTCTGACGGATCAAGGGTAAAAGCAGTCTCCTCCAGTTCACTAACAATCTCTTGAACCTACAGCAGACAAGAGCAAAAGATACAACATTAGTCAAACGTCACAAAACAAAGATGCTCAAAATATACATAAACGTCACTTAGAACATTTCTCACAACAAAGAGGATCAGTTAGGCCATAAGTACGGATATCAGAGGGACCAAGCTGTACAGAAGTAACAATTAATGCTGAAAGGTTATTTGAGTAGTGAAATCAATAACTTTAACTAGAGCAACTTTTTGAAAAGCCTGTACAAAACTATAGGCCTGGCATTTGGGTAAACAAAGAGCCAGAGATTAGCAGTTGCTATGAATGTTGCTCTTCTAATTGGACTAGAATAAACAACTAACAGAACGCTACAAGAGAGCCCATTAAGCTATCAACTATCCCCTTTTTTATTATTTTTTTCCCCTATACGTCAAGTTAACAGTTCATTTTGTTCCATAATTGTCATTTAACAAAATTTACTTATACCATAAGCACTATTACTTGTTGCTTCAGAATACCTAACAAGTATAGAACATTACACACCCACATATAGAATACCAATATGATAAACAATAAATCCACAGTAGGTGTTGACATTAAATGCTAAATACTTTGTATAAAGGAATGACAGGAGTGCCTAAAAACACTTGATGAAGACACTCAAATAAAAGGTTTTTGCAAGGAGTTTTATCACAAATTCACAATCACTAACTAAATATTGACAAAAACTCTCCACAGTAAAAATTTCCCAAAGCAGGAAGGATATGAAAGTTGTTTCACTAGGCAATGCAGAAATATACACCCAATTTAAATTACAATGCAAAACAGCATGAGAAAACTAGACAATACAATTTAAAACAAAGGACCAACCTGGCAACCAATTGATTGTGGAACAATATCTTCAACCCGTTTAAGACTGTCTACAAGCGCAGATTTCATCTTTTCAAACTTCAAAACAATAGAATCT